GGTACGAAAGTTACTAGGTTTTTCAAGCTCTTCCCCTTGATAGGAAGAGCTGAAGTTGGATTAGATGTCTATGGAAGATACGTGTGCCAGGGTGTCGCTGGAACCGCTCGAGCGACCCTCAAAGACGCCATGAACGGACAGCGTAGGGAAGGCTTCTTTTATGCTAACGCCTTAACGAAGCTGTTCGAGCACATCGCCCAAATTGTCGAAGGTCACGGCGGGCTTGTAGAGCGTCATTATGGCTCTGGAAAAATGGTTCGCGTTATCGAACGTTTACAGATGGAAGCGGATGTCCAGGGTGGCATCATTGTTGACACCTGGAGCGACGAAAGGGGAATCGATAGAAAACTCACTGACGTCAGGAGTTATCCGTTCTCGTTTCTAGTTCAGAGCTTTTTGCCCCAACCGCCTCGGGGTGGCACACCGAGGGTGAACTCGCCAGCCATAGGGGTAGGCAACAACCCTCGAGAAAGTGAGGATGAGGGTGTCAATATGAGAGAAGTCGACGGCCTCCTGAGTGAGATTGCGGTGATGCTTGGGCGTTGGTCACTGTACACTCGATTCCTCGCCGGCAAATGCAAGGTACGGTTGGCCATTCAATCTCTGAAATGAACCGAAACTTACAAGTCGCAGAACCCCGATACACCAGATGAGGCACCTCTTGTCATACCAGACGTACTTGTCAAGTCAAACCTGTACCGAAAAGTATCTACCAAGCTTACATCTCCTTACAACATCATGACCACTTTCTTCTTCCGTCGTTCTGTGGAGAAAGCCTTCCAACTGGACGAATATCCTACGGGTCTGTCACTAAGCCTGAGCAGGCAGATCGAAGGCAACGCTCCGTACATCATATTAGCGGTGGACGATGTCATGTACATTGTGAATGCAGTCATTCAGAAATCTATTTCAACATCTCAAAGAGATGTCATTGCTTCTGTTGTCCCGACAGTCGGCCGAGTGCTTGGCTCCGACTTTGTTGGTATGATCCAGCGCAAGATGAGAGATGAATCGTATCCTCGACCGGTTGTCCAGGGAGGATTCCCACCCGAAGACAAGATTATCCAGTTCATCGTTCTCATCAATAGTCTGGACATGGCCAACGAGTATTTGACTCGAATTATCACAGGTCGGATAGGGGAATCGAATCACCTGTCAAACGGTGATGCCCAAAACGGACCCCTCAAGGATTCGTTCCCGTTTGAGCGAGATGTTATCTTCGTTGCGAACGCTCTGCACACTCTTCAGACTTCGTTCATTGGAAAGACGACCGAGCTGCTCAACGAGGGAATCCAAGTACTCTTCAATCAGGTTGTCAAGCTCCGTTTAAGGCCTGTCCTAACAGATACATTCCGTGATGCGGACTACACCTTGTCGGAGGACGACATTGCAGATATAGCTCAACAGAACGACGAAGACGAGAATGAACTCCTGGAACAAGTACCCCGACTGTTTGAGCATGGCTGGGATCAACTCATGAAGCCAATTGCACGTCTGATGACACCTGGGACATACATCACTCTCCTGGATACCACAGCACGCTACCTCTCCAAGATATGGGAGAAGAAGATCATGGGCTATGCAGGCCGCACCAATGCTCTTGGTGCAATCAGACTAGAGCGTGATTTTATCGCGTTAGTAGACATCGTCTCTCGTGGGGACTACGCTGTGAGAGAGGTCTTCGCCAGGGTCCTGCAAATACTCATGGTTGCCAACATGGAAGATGATGAGTGGGATGAGGTCATGGCCCAAGATGGAGAAGACGATGTCATCGAATGGGTTTTGACTGAGGAGGAGAGGAGGCGGGCGAGAAGTTTGGTTAGAGGATGATTTGGCAGTTCATGATATTCAAGGACATGACGAGACGGCGTTGATTATAGAAAAGAGCTCAAAGAGATGTAAGAGTAGAGTCGATGCAAGCGAGTATTTCGTGGTTTACGGTTGGTGGCACATTGGGAGCCACTGCTGATAGCTTATTTTTCTGTGACCATCTAGAATCTGAAGTACTGTAGTTGAAACTACCTTAACTTAGATCGATCAAGAGCACCAGGATTAGTCAAACAAACTAACATGCGATTATTGATGTCAAGACTTGCAACAAATCCCTTTCTTTGGCGGACAATCATTTTTCGTATGCCTTCCTAACCGGATATTAGTCTTTGTAGGACTATAGGTCTGAACTATCAGTGGCCCTTCGCCCTAGGGCGCCACTGAATAGACGTTTTAGTGGCTCCCGGCCTCACCTAGGCACGCCCAAAGCCTACCTAAGTACAGCAATTTTCGATTGGGCATTGCCTTCAACTCTGAGTCACTCTCAACCATCAAAGTCCAGTCAGAGGCTCCATTTTAGCTCGTCATGATGAGTGAGCATGAGGCCCAGTGTGATGAAATTTTTCATCGCCCAACTATCACGAACTCCGAGCCACAGACCTCAATATCATAGCTTCCGAAGATATTTACGAACTCTTACGCTTTCGGAGAACACCCTCTTCTGTTTTCCAAAACGAGATTTACAAAAAAACACTTACGCCTCTCCGACATTGAGAACACCACTTACATCGCAAAGATTTGGTTCTCAGGCTGCGCCCACAATGGAGACGAGGATAGTGAAAGTCCCGAACAAGGGCTCTTTAGGCCACTTTCAACCTGGCGATGGCCTTGCAAAACTGAATCACTGGGAAGTTCAGTGTGAAAATAAACTCGCTCTTAAGGCTCTGCAAGATGCTGCCCATGAGCTACGGACCAAGGATACGCCTGTCGCATTCCCAACAGAGACTGTATATGGCCTTGGTGCAGATGCTACTCGGACTCCCTCAGTCAAAGGAATCTATTCGGCAAAGGGACGACCTTCAGATAACCCTCTCATTTCACATGTTTGCGACCTGGAGATGTTGCGACAGTATATCGGCCACACTGACGAAACTGATCCTATACCACAACGATATAGGGCTCTGATAGAGCGTTTCTGGCCCGGGCCCCTTACTATTCTTCTGCCTAATCCGATACCGTCGAAACTAGCACCTGAGGTGACTGCAGGCCTCAAGACCTTTGGCGTGCGGATGCCATCGTCAACCCTCGCCTTGTCTCTCATCAAGCTAGCTGGTGTACCCCTGGCAGCACCATCCGCCAACGCTTCCACCAAACCTTCACCCACAGCGGCACAACATGTGATGGACGACCTCAACGGAAAGATTGAGCTCATTTTGGACGGTGGACACTGCCATGTAGGTGTGGAGAGTACTGTTGTGGATGGACTATGCGACCCCCCCGTCGTCCTTCGCCCAGGAGGTATCGGAATAGATGAGCTACGAAGCTGCCCCGGCTGGGAGAATGTAACAATAGCTTACAAAGACAAGAGCGAAGAGGGAAAGGCTGCACCCCGAGCTCCGGGGATGAAGTACAAGCACTATAGTCCAAAGGCTACAGTAGTGCTCTATGAGTCGACTCTCGAAAAAGGGGATAACGGAATAGCTTCTTCCGACCTGAAGGCGGCCAATGGAACAGTCAATGGTCATGCTAGCAACGGTGAGCGGAAGGGTAGGGTTATTGGGGTTATTCGCACCCAGCGATGGAAGTCAGGGGCTGGTCTGCGATGCGCCAACTTTCAACATCTCACCGACGTGCAAGGAGCCGATGAGGATGACTTGCCATTCCAAGTATACGAGGGCGATCTGTTGGATGAAAAGGCGCAGCCAATAGGAAAGATCTTGGATATCGATCTGGGCAGAGGCACTGAAGGGATTGCGAGAGGTCTTTTTGCAGCGCTTCGGGAGTTTGATCGACGAGGCGCAGATACCATTTTTGTTGATGGCATAGAAGATAGAAGCGACATCGCAGCGGCGGTCATGAACCGGCTCCGCAAAGCGGCATCAGAGACTAGAGCATGAATGATCATATCAATTAGAACACCAGCACACCTGTATAAAAACCCTTCCTTTCTTGACCCTGTATCAGCCAGACCAGATCAGACCAGACCAATGGCGCGGCGCCTTCCTCTTTTGATTTTGGGTTTGCATGCGGCGCTGAATAACGACAAAACTCCCGACTCTCCAGACATCAACCTGCTCTCTTCTCTACAGACCCTGTCGGAGCCAGTCCGCCAGTTTCGACTTTCCTAGCTGCGCCAAGTTGTTGACGCCCTGTTCGCTGAGGTCGATGCGGCCAACGGGCATGTCTTGAGTGGGTGCTCGGCTCACGCGCTGAGTGATGATGGTGGGATCAGTCTCGAGAATAATGCCGTCGTCAACAATCTCATCGATAGCGAGCGAAACAAGGTCGTAGTTCTCGACAATTGTCCTCTTGTCAACGGATTGCCTATAGTGCTGTATTAGCGGTGCTGCGATGGATTGCGCAGGCTCGGGAAAAAAAGAAGAAAAAAACTGACTTGAAAAGGATGTGGAGAGAATCCCTCAGAGCAAGAATGGTGTTGTAGAGCAGAATCTCGTTCTCGTCGACACTGCCAACAACATACATCATGACATCTGACTCCATCTTGTACAGCACAATTCGGTTGTCGTAAAGAATGATATCGCCGTTCTGCTTGGCAGTCTTGTCGATAAGACCCTTCTCAAAAGCCTTTTGCGATTTCACATCGGAGTAGGGGTTGGCCGAGGAGCTTGTGGGAGCTGTTCATAACAGTTGTCAGCTGTCGTTGCGCTCAGTGGTAGCATCGCGAGGGAAGCTCAGGGGAGGATGAATGTACCATTAGGTGCTGAATGAGGTGGCTGGAAGTACTTTGCGAATATCCGGGAGCCATCTTCGGTGCTGAGGATCAGGATGGCCTGAACCGAGAAAAGCGACATTCCAGGAGCCATGCTTGCGATTTGTTGTAGTGTTTGCTGGCTTGTAAGTGCTCTCTTTCAACGGTGGCCCCTCCAGATGCCAGCAATGCCATACTGTTAGGGATGTCCGGGACCAACGTTTGACCGCTCCGTATGGTCGACCATCTTATCTTATCAAAAGCACCCTGCATGACGGGTTAATTGGCAAGCAACCCCTCGCGTTAAGCACTTTACGCGTCTGAAAAAAGGAGACGCGACCCGTCACCCAGCCAATCCCTTCGAGGCCCCTCATCTTCACCACCAATTTCCCAACGTCAACAGTAGCAAAAGACAAGGGTCAAGCCAAATCACTTCTTTTAGCTTCTCTGGCATAAACGTACAAAGATCACCCAAACGAAAATGTCGTCGCCTACGAAAAGGTCGACACGCAGCTCAGCGACTCCTCGTCGTGCTGCTGGCAATTCGGAGACGCCCCGTCAAGGAAACTCTCAGCTCGATGCCCCTTCGAGTCCCCTCTTCTATCAGTCTTCGTCACCAGGACCAAGCAATCAGAATAACCTCCCCGGAGATGTGTCTTCGCCATTGGGGCAGATGACGAACAGTCAGAGCACTCGCGGTCGTAGCGATGTCCCCAACTCCCCCCTGCGACAGATGACAGATACTCGAAGCGATCTGGATCCTGAAAGAACACCTCGAGCAAACCCAACCACACCAGCCTATCATGGAGGTGAGAACTGGCACAATCAACCTTACCTGCACTTAACTGACCACCGTAGGATCTTCACCTATCCGCTACGAACCTAGCTCCAGCCCTGGCAGATCACTGCGACAACAGTCTGAGCTTCGAAGTGAGGGTAGTGGCTTGTTCTTGGGTTCTCAACTTGGCACACCGGCACCTCACCGCAGAGGCGATATCAACTCCGATGCGACTCGAACACCCCGTGCTGCTCGACGAGTGATTCTTGACGATGCTGGCCGTGTAGTTCGTGAGGGCCCCGCTGATGGATCCGACGCCGCCTCATTTGCGAACAGGGATCCCAATACATCAGAGGCCGATGTTCTTGGTGGACAGGGACAAAGTCTTATTTGGGGTACAACCGTCTCTATCGACGATACCTTCGCATCGTTCAAGGAATTCCTTCGCAACTTTACACAGAAGTATCGGATGTACCGCGATGGTGCGTCAGATGAAGACGTTCAAAACGCTCCTGATGCAGAGTCAAAGCCATATTGGGAGGCTCTGGAGAACATGTTGCTTTTGGGAACAACACGACTTTACCTTGATATCTCTGACCTGAATCTATATCCACCAACCCGAAAGCTATGGCATCAAATTCAAGCCTACCCCCAGGAAATCGTGCCTGTCATGGATCAGTCCGTTCATGACATGATGGTTGAGATTGCACGGGCAGAGACTTTGAGAAATCGTCAATCGCAGAGCAGCGCTGGCCACCAAGCTTCCCAGCAGAGCACTCAGAGCTCTGAACCTGTCTTCCCCAGCTCAGATAGACCCGAGGAGGCGCCTACACCCCGGACACAACCAGATCAACAACAGCAAGCTTCGCTGGAGGATCAAGTAGCTTCATCTATTTATGTGGTTCGACCATTTGGTCTGGACAAGACCACCAACCTGAGAGATCTGAACCCCTCCGGCAAGTTATCTTCTATTATAAATACCCGTCCTGAGACTAACGTGGACCAGATATGGACCGCTTGATTAGCATCAAGGGTCTCGTTATCCGAACAACCCCCGTTATTCCCGATATGAAAGATGCCTTCTTTCGTTGCAATGTTTGCAACCACTCTGTCAATGTTGGCTTGGATCGTGGCAAAATTCGCGAGCCTACCGAGTGTCCTCGTGAGATTTGCAAGTCCAAGAACTCCATGTTGATCGTGCACAACAGATGTTCCTTCGAGGACAAGCAAGTTATTAAGCTTCAGGAGACACCCGATGCTGTGCCTGCTGGTCAGACGCCTCATTCAGTGTCAGTCTGCGTTTACAACGAGCTGGTCGACTTTTGCAAGGCTGGTGACCGTGTGGAGTTGACAGGTATCTTCCGTGTCAGCCCTGTTCGTGTTAACCCCCGCCAGCGTGCTCTCAAGAGTGTACACAAGACATATGTTGATGTTCTTCACATCCAAAAGGTCGATAAGAAGCGCATGGGTGCTGACCCATCCACGCTCGGTATCGCTGGTGAGGAGGAAGCCGAAGCCGGAGAAAACGGCATCGAAGAGACACGAAAGATCACGATTGAGGACGAAGAGAAGATCCGGGAGACAGCCGCCCGCGACGATATCTACGAGCTTCTTGCTCGTTCCCTAGCTCCCTCGATCTACGAAATGGACGATGTCAAGAAGGGTATCCTGCTACAACTCTTTGGGGGCACCAACAAGACGTTTCAAAAGGGTGGTAGCCCCAAGTATCGAGGTGACATTAATGTCCTCCTCTGTGGTGACCCATCGACAGCCAAGTCGCAGATGCTTTCATACGTTCACAAGATTGCCCCCCGCGGCGTTTACACGAGTGGTAAGGGATCCTCAGCTGTCGGTTTAACTGCATACGTTACTCGCGACCCAGAAACAAGACAGCTTGTCCTCGAATCTGGAGCCCTGGTCTTGTCAGACGGTGGTGTCTGCTGTATCGATGAGTTTGATAAGATGTCAGATGCTACGCGCTCCGTACTCCACGAAGTGATGGAGCAGCAGACTGTCTCAGTCGCCAAAGCCGGTATTATCACCACTCTCAATGCACGAACCAGTATTCTCGCCTCCGCAAACCCTATCGGCAGTCGTTACAATCCCGACCTTCCTGTTCCTCAAAATATTGACCTTCCTCCTACACTCCTCTCGCGATTTGATCTCGTGTACCTCATCCTGGACAATGCCGACGAGAAGAATGACCGACGCTTGGCCAAGCATCTTTTATCGCTCTATCTTGAGGATAAACCCCAATCCGCTCCCAACAGTAATGATATTCTACCAGTCGAGTTCCTCACTCTCTACATTTCTTATGCGAGATCCAAGATTCAACCTACTATCTCACAAGAAGCCGCCCAGGAGCTGGTCGACTGCTATGTTGCGATGCGCTCCCTTGGACAAGATGTCCGCGCCGCTGATAAGCGTATCACTGCCACTACCCGTCAGCTTGAGAGTATGATTCGTCTCTCCGAAGCTCACGCCAAGATGCGCCTTTCTGAGACTGTCACTCGTGACGATGTTCGCGAGGCCAATCGTCTTATCCAGAGCGCCTTGAAGACGGCCGCCACAGATGCCCAGGGACGTATCGACATGAGTCTCCTCACGGAGGGAACAAGTGCTGCTGATCGCAAGCGTCGCGATGAGCTACGTACTGCTCTTCTACGCCTCTTGGATGACATGACAGCCGGTGGCAACACCGTGCGTTGGGCCGACGTTGCTCGCCGACTGAGTGAGGGCGCCAGCGTTCCTGTCGAACAATCCGAATTCAACGACGTGATGAGGGCTCTTGAGGCGGAGAACGCCATCATGATCACAGGCGAAGGAGCAAGAAGGACCATCCGCAGAGTGACCTCTGTTGCATAAAAGTAATAAGTATGGAGAGCTCAATTGATGCTGAATGATTTACCATGTAGATGAGTTGATGAGGTTTACTCGGGTCAAAGGTTGTATGATGACGAACCTCCTGGCTGGGTCAGGCGTTGGGCATATTTGTGGGGGATAGATAGACGTCGAGATGTTTAATTTGATTAATGATATGATCATTCTACCAACCAGCCTTGAATCCCGTCTCGGGAGACTAATGTCCGTTTTCGAGCCCTTTGCCGACTTTAATAGCAACTTCCAGAGCATCTCTTAGAGTATCAATCAAATCTTCTTCATTTTCTAGACCAGCTGAGATTCGCACATTTGCTTCTCTGACTCCCAGGTTATGCATGTACGCCTTCTCGTCAGGCTTCTTCCCAAAGACAACCATGTTATAGGCAAACATGATGGTGACGTGTCCGCCAAGGTGAGGACTCGGATAGAAGCCTGCCCTGTCGTAGAACGCTGTCGCAGCTTCGACAGTTGAGAACTCAACTGTCAGGAGGCAGCCGTATCCAGGCTCTGGGAATTCCGGTGTTGCTCGCCTTAAAATTGCATCGTAGTTTGACTTGCTGTCAAGTTGACTGGGATACTGCACGTTGACTACAGGAGAGTCTGGGAATGCGATGGCTCCGTGAAGAAACTCCGCCATAGCGAGAGCGTTCCGGTTAAGAATCTTGGTACGCTCAAGAAAGTCCTTTGAATTAGAGAGCAAGACTTTCGCATCCGAGGCAAAGAGCTCATTGTGATGAGACTCTTTGAAAAGAGACTGAAGAATGTGATAATGGGAAGAAGCAGGGTTTAGAACGATGGAGCCGCCCATGACATTGGCATAGCCACTGAAGGACTTGGTGAGAGACGAAAGGAGGACGTCTGAGTTGAATAGGACGTCTATGTTGACGAAACCACTGATTGTGTCGTCGATGATGAGAAAGAATCCATACTCTTCAGACTATTGAATGTCAGCAAGTCTGTAGTAGGGCAATATGAGATCCGCTTACGAGTTCCTTCAAACGTTTTGTATCGGCAGTTTCCAAGGTTGGATTTCCAGGAACCTCCACAAATGCATAGCTAACAGATCTTCCCTCCTCTTTCTCATGCTTTAGCCAGTCTTCAAACGCTGAGAGACCTTCTTTGTCCACCTTTCCGAAATGTTTCATTCCTTGCGGACATTCTTCTATGAGATGATGATATGTGGTGTGGAAGATGACACCCAGGACAACGATAGTGCCAGGTCGGTGTTTTGTCAACAGAACGCTGGAGTGGAAGATAGCAGCCATGCCCGTCGGGTACAGAAACACGTCGCTGGGTGTACACTTCACCTTGTCTGCATCAATCGGTGCGCGATGAAGAAGCTCGACGATCCTCGTACGGAGATCACCATGGGCTTCACTCTCAGGAGTCCAAGTCGGAGAGGGGATAGGGTCCCTTCCGACGTCAAAGGGAACTTCCTTGATAGTGGCTATGCTTTTGAGAAGATCCTCAGCTCCACGAATGGAGATCCCGAGTCCTGGATTCTGCCAAGTGAGCACGACGGCAGGCATTGCCGTTGGACTAACAAGAATAACATATACTCTATGGCCTGCTATATCAACGCATTTGAGAGTGGCGTCTTGGGCTGTCAACCGTTTGTCTCCACGGTTCTCATGGGTGACATGATGCAGAGTATATGGCCAGACCGCAGGGTTGAGATAAACCAACGCAGCTTTGTCGGTATAACCAAGGTATTTTGCAATTTCATGCCCAAGCTAAAGTCAGATTAGTTAGCACATTATTTTCAAACTATGTACACATGGGCTTACCTGAACAGAATAATGTGTGGGCATGAAGCGAGGATATATGTGAACCAGCTTCTTCATCGGAGCAGGGTCGCCTTCACGAATGGCCTTTGCCACATCCCATCCTGGAAGATTAGTGATAACACTGTAGGGAGCTTGAGGAGGAGGTGCGTGTCCAACTTCGGACTGGGTTTTTAGTACGACCATGATGATTAATTATATATATGGAATAGTCAGGTCTGGAATGATGGGTAGAGTTGTGTGATACGGTTCGAGAAACACCATCGTGTCCCAATCTACCCTCAAGACTTTATATACCTTCTGTATCTCAGACTAGTGCAACAATCCTTCGATCCTCATGGATTTAGTTGCTTCCGTGTTCAGTGGCCTCGACCTGTTGATCATGCACTAGTTAGACCAAACAGTGACCTTTAGAGTAAAGCTTCCAGGCTTGACTAGTACCGCTTTACTCCCAGGGTGTTGGTTCGACATAGAGACCGTGGCCTAGAACCAGATATAGCTTGAGGAGGCTGACAGCCTTGGCGTTAATACTATGTGTATCGCCAATCATGGATATCCTCATATGATGAGCTACGAGCTACAGTGGCGGTTACTAGTGGGAATGAGGTTACGCGGCTCCGCACTGGTGCGGAGGTAGCTGAGGGTTTCGGGCTCAAATCAGTGAGGTCAATATAGGTATTCTCGATGAAATAGGACTTGGAGAGACCGCAAAGAGTATTGGGAGAGCGGCCAACCTGTTGTGACTATTATGACAATCCTCAACATCTAACAGAAATTGATAACATCGGGACTGAAGATGGAGTCAATTGACAGTCAGGAAATGTAGTGACCAATAATGCTTCTTTTGTATGCTTTTTAACTTTGCTGAGCTCACTAACCGCATTACTCAACTTTCTAACCTAAACAGTGACCTCTCATCCACCTCCTCAACTGAGGAACTCATATTACACAAAAGGGAAATGAATCGAGCCTAGCACAGCACCCCCATCAAGACTCTCTCTCAAACACCGCTACAAAAATGCATGTAACAAAGCTTACCAAGACCAAGACTCCTCATTCCTACCAGATGCCCCTCTCTTTACCCTCAAATCCGAAGTTCGCGGCTACGCCAACGAACAGAGCTATGCAGAGAATACTCGGGCCCCAACGGTCGTAGAACCCGATAGCCTTACGTTCTCGAATACCTTTACTTCGGTGGAGGTACGTGAACACAGAGTAGCCAAGGCTTGCAATAGCCAATACAGTAAAAAGACCAGCAATCCAAAAGTGGGTAGGTGTAGGATGGCTACCGAAGTTGAGTAGCGTGACAGCAATTGTGCCGATATAGATAGAGAACTCGAGCTATCAAACAAAGCATTTTAGTAAACGAACACGTACTTGACATCAAAGTACTTACCCATCCCAAAAATGTTCTTTCAGCCGCAAAATAGACCTTGGGTTCCACGCGCACAGGCACGTAGATCTTCTTGCCAGGCGGCGCCTTAAACTTCTTGGTCTGAATAGGGTCATGCCCGAAGAGGGCTTGCAGCCGGTCACTGCGTTCAACCTGCGTGCTTCTAGGCGCAGGAATAGCAAGCTTGAGAGCAGAAATCACATGTTTTCCAAAATGTTGTCTGAGATGTCGGGTCTTGGCAGAAAGCAAAGTCGAATAGTAGCGCCATCCTCCACTTCTCTTGGCTTGCGCCAGCTCGTATCTTTCATCATACTCATCATCCGAGTTGTAAATCGCATAGTCTTCATCAGCCGTGGGCAGGTCTGTCATCTGGCCCTCCACATCAATAGGGGGAAGCTCACGGAGACCACGAGCGCCTTGTGCGCTCGACTCGCCGTTAGTGCCGTTACGGCCAGAAGCCTGCAATTCCTCGTCGTCTGAGTCAAGTTCTTCGTCATCATCAGATGTATTAGTAGTACCGGACAATCCGGGTCGCCGAATACCAAAGTCATGAGTAACGGGTTTGCGGATGTCTACATCCATCTGAGGCATCCAGAAAGGCAGGAGGTTGATTCTATCAGGGAACAACGTCGCTGTGCCGTGGATGAACTTGGAGAATTTTGGCACGGCCTCCACCAGGTGAGATGAGATGAGCTGGCGAACCCACTCAGGTGGTTTCTGACCGGACTGCGTCTGAAGCTTGACCTCCAGAACGGCATAAGGGAATCGCTCAACGTCTTCAGCAGGCAATTGCGAAAAGGGATAGTCAACACCGATGTCCATACGGCGCCAGTTATCTCCAGAGCGAACACGGCCATCAAGATTGTCTTCTCGCACCATTGTGAGCTCCGTATCCAGCGAAATTCGGACACGGGCATCGGCGGGCAGCTGGAACGCAGTGCGGTTATAGAAAGATCGGCAAACAGGCTTGTAACCCTTTTTGATAACCGAATATTGGATCTCAGAGGCCAATCGCTCGTCCTCAGCAATAGCCTTCTCAGACTTCTTGCCCTCCTTACGTGCCTTCTCAAAGATGGCGGCTGGAAGCAGTTCTCCTTTCATGTACGCGTTGACGTTTTTCTCCTTCATGGCGAATCGAGCCTTGACAGACTTCTCTCCCGTCCAATCTTCACGATGAGTCTTGCGCTCAACGAAGATCGTCTCTGTCTTCATACCTCCATACCATCGAAGTCGAATAGCCTCGGCACCTTCAGTTTTCTTCAGTCGACCTTCGTACAAGTCCCATGTGTCGGGGTTGTCGTAGTAAATCGAGGTGATGGCTGAATCTTCCGGGTCAAAGTCCTTGTTGGCATTGAAGACAAGGACGGGCAAGTGCTTCAGGATAATAAGCTTCAGTTCCGTGACGTTGTCTGGGTGCACCCAGTATTTAGTCGTTTGTCGGATGAAGTTGGCCTGGCCTCCACCCGCAGCACTATCACCCTTGACAGGATTTCCGCGAGTTCGGACGAGGTCGTAAAGCTTCGACAGCTTGATGACAGACGCGTCATAGTTTTCCTTGTAAAAGGGCTTGGCTTTGAGTCGGCTATCGAAAACGGGCTTCAGGTGCCATCCGGTCGTTTTCTGGAACTTGTGTTAGGCAATCGCTGCGTTGTCTCCAAGGGTTCTAGTCTCACATCGTGCTTCTTAATGATCTTGTAAAACCCGGTATAGTTGAGCTGCACAAACTTGGCGAGGTCATGGACATCAGCTATAATGTCGCTGAGATCCTCTTCGAGAAGCATAAACTCTTCCTCACTGGGGCCATTCTCGCCAAGCCCACGCTCATTCAGGCGGTTAACCACATCCTTGACTTCGCGTTCGCTCACAGCAATTCGACGGGCAATCTCCATAGCCTTCACCTTCTGCTTTGTGTGAACCTTTTCGAGCTCTGACTCGAGCCTTTCGACGAAACGCGTCTCGTCATCCTCGGTCCATTCTGGGCCCTTGCCGGCCTTGAAAGGACCGGTAGGTCCCTTGAGCTCATTCTTCAAACCATCGTAATCGATATAGTACCACTGATACTCCTGGATAACGCTGGAGCGTAGCTGCTCTCCGAACTTCATGACGACGACGCCGGGTCGGACAGAATGATTTTTGCCGGCGCGGGTGCTGAGCCAGGTTCTGGAACGTGTCTTGAGGTCTTGAACGATCAGCATGTGCGCATTGAAGAAGCTGGATGCGACATCCGAGGAAATCGAGTTCGAACAGCAATGGTTAATGATGGATGAAGTATGAGACGATTGACCACGATGCAGCCGAGGAAGTCAATCGATGGATGCTGATGCTACAGATCTTTTGCTGGCTTACCTGGTGACGATAATAAGAGAAGAAGAGGGCGAGAGAGACAATGTTTTGGTGTTGCCGAAAGTTACGAGATGACCGAGACGTAACAAAACAGGTCAGGGCTTCCGAGTCGGCAGGTACGGACGAACTATTTTAACGAATATGCAAGGTAACCATAGCACTGTAAATCAATTACAGTGCGGCAGGTACGAGAAAAGTTCCAGGTTTCCTAGACTTGATCTGAACTCTTTCGTCGCTTCGCTTTGTCTTGTTATCGTTGGCGTCGAGCAACTGACTTTAGGTCGGGCGTTATGTGGAGCAACAGGCCGACATTGGTTTAGTTGGCGTTGTCACGGTCGAGAGCTCTGTTCGAGACAAGCTCTGAACCTGAGACGATTGGCGAATCATGTTAGTGGCTACAGGAACGTGCACGTCACTGAAGGAAACTTAATGGCGAGGCTACGAGGGAGGGATAGGGGAATGCGAGAGAGAAAACTGGTGCTGTTGAAGCGGGGATCCGCTGTATTCTTAGCGGCCGTTCTTCCATACCTATTTGGGCTTCTCGTCCAAGGTGCTGTACGTAGTAAATGTAGGCAGGTGCCAGCGTCATTTTACATGGATACAAACTGTAGCTGAAATAACATGGACTAACGAATGAATTGGCCCTGTCCTATTCGTCAATTGAGCCCGTTAGCACCCAAACTTGTCAGGAAACATCTTTCATGCACGTGTAAATGCATCAATTGGTAGCATTGCACTACAATCCCGGGCTGTCCAGTTGCGAGAGTGGATCAATTCAGCCGTGGAGACTACCTAACACAAGGTGGAGAAATGTAGTGAGGCTCCGTGTCGAATTCGATACCCTGGAGGATGTAAGAAAGACGGGGAGTGAAGGGTTTTTATCATAATCCATATACCTAGGTATACTGTCAAACTACTAGGTAATGCTTATACCTCTGTATATTGATGACTCTAATGGTCATTATCTTATAACTGATATGGAAACTATTACAGGCTTCATACCCTTGCTATAACCAATGCGATTTCTATTTTGTCTTCTTTATTGTATAGGATGGCCCCGTTTTTTTTTGTTAGGATGCTACATCATCAAACTCCAGCACTGTATATATCGAACCCTAGCACAAACTTGGCCTTGATTCTTTTTTACAGCCTCAACTCGGAAAATCGGCTTCAACCTTGCTACATGCGTACATAGACAGTTACACCCGTTGCTCAACCCTTGTAGCGCGTGTATCGTCCGCGCATCTCCCAAGCTCCCGTGCCCCTCCAATCGAAATCGACCCCGGGACACAATTTTTATTTTTGTTGTGCCCCTCATCATGGCTCCCAAAATCGATGATTCTATGCCGGCGCGCATTTCCTCCGATTGTCCAGACGAGATTCGAGAAGTCTTGTACCATGCCTGGGGCCATGATAGAACCGGTCTGCAGAAACTGCTCAAAACCACCGGCAAGGCAAATGCACAGGACCCCAAGACTGGAGAGACACCCTTACATGCAGCTATCCGTGCCTGCGGGCCTGCTTCTGGGGACGATGACGATCAGGAAGAGGATGGTTCCGTTGAGGAGGCTAAAGAGATAGTTCACGATCTCTTCCTGAGAGGTGCAATTTGGAATGATGTCGATAGCAACAATGAGACACCAGGCTGCCTTGCCCTTAGGCTTGGCCGTAAGCCTCTATACAACCTTTGTGTAGAGGCTGGAGTGCGAGCCGAACTCCTATTCGCTCTTATGGGGGATTACGAAGCACTATCATCTGGCTCAGAGGACGGTGACGAAGAGATGGAAGTTGAACAAGATGACGAAGAGGCTCCTCAACTGGTATCTGCCGAAGACACCGTCCCTCCTCCAGAAGAACCCAAGTTCATTCCTCCCGATGCTCAAGAGAAGCAAGTCACAAGTGAGGAATATCTAAACTCGAAACTAGTATACGATGATGCCAAACTTGTCGACTCTGACCTCAATGGTGTCATGATGGCCTGGGAGACTGACATCATGCGCCGGTCCGTTGCCGCTCTGATCCCCGACTCAGCACCTGGCAAACGCATTCTGAACATTGGCTTCGGCATGGGCATCGTTGATGGTATGTTCGCTGAGTTGAAACCCTCACGCCATCATATCATCGAGGCACACCCAAGCGTTCTTGAGCACCTCTCCAAGGACGAATCCAAATTTGGCCCTAGCTGGGAGAAGAGTGGCCCTGAAGAGGGAGCCTTCAAAGTGCACAAGGGCAAGTGGCAGGATATCGTACCAAAGCTGCTGGAGGACGGCGAGGTTTATGATGCTATCTACTTTGACACCTTTGGCGAAGACTACTCTCAGCTACGTCACTTCTTCTCTGAGTGCATCATTGGCATTATGGACCAGGACGGCAAGTTTAGCTTCTTCAATGGCCTTGGAGCTGACAGAAAGATCTGCTACGATGTATACACCAAGGTGGTCGAGATGCAATGCGCCGATGCTGGCCTCGATGTCGAGTGGGAGGAGAGTGATGTAGACATGTCTGGTCTAGAAAAGGCTGGCGAGGGAGAGTGGGAGGGCGTACGGAGACGTTACTGGACCCTAGACAGTAAGATATGCCATATATTTTACATCACTATCAAGCTAACTCTATTTCGCAGAATACCGGTTGCCCATTTGCACATTCATGGGTTAGACGAAGAAATCCAACAGAAGGATTTCAGGTCTGTCAGTGACACACACGCTCTTGGTAGTCTTTAAGAAACCCTTCGTCTCTATTCGTGCTTTCATTCAAGTTCACGTCTATCTCCGTTTTCCGACCAATCCTAATATTAACCTTTGATACCCATCACGCGCCTTTCATCAATCGACCCCCGCTCTTGCTCATTTGAAGTTCTCGGGATGAAGGATACCCGCCATGTTGCCCTCATTAATTCGCTTAAGGGTTAGGGCGGCAATCAGGGCGGCGCCGACACCACTACCGTCCTCGGCAGTAAGAACCTCGATAGGGTCCTCGGCCTTCTTGTTGGTCTTTGCGGGCCAGTCTAGAATCTCTCGCAGAGCCTGAGCTCCTCGCTCCTTGAAGTAGGGGTACTTGTTGAACACGGAGCCATCAGCACCGACGTGGCAAGATTCGTATCCCTTCTTCTTGCAGATAGCAGCAACACCACAAGCCGAGAGGCGAGCAGCACGTGTGCCAATGAGCTCGGCGGTCCTTCGAACGAGCTCCAGCTCGGGGCGTGTGGCCTTCAAGTTCAGCTTCTTGACGAAGAGATCATACGTCTCAGTCAGGTTCTCCCAGGGGTCCCTAAAGCAGAAAATTAGCAGTGTGCGTAGCCCCAGCATCATACAAACGTACTCTTCAATAGCAGACAAGAATGAAGCATCGAGGGAGTAAGGCTTGCGTAGCAGAGAAATGTCCTGGTTCTCAAAGATATGGATGGCCTTGTTATCGTGAAGGTCGACAAGGATGAGTCGGAAAATCTCGCCAAGGTAGAGACCAGCAATCATCTTTTCGAAGGCCTGTTGTCCAGGGCGAGGAGACTCCTTATCGATAGTCACATCGTAGGCAGTTCGGGGAAGGACCTTGTGCTCGTTGTCGAAAGCTCCCCACTCGCAGTTGATGGCCATGGGCAGATCAGCGGGCAGATTCAGGTCAGCAATCTTGGGAATGGAACCACAGTCTTCCATGTAAGCAGCATTGCATCCCGTGCCGAAGATGCAGCCGATCTTCATAGCAGTATCGGTATAGGCTGAAGCAATCAATGTGCCAGTAGTATCATTGATGATAGCCGCAAGCTTGATGGGGACGCCCTATTAACATGATTAGCAGGGATTCTTGGGGTTTTAGAGTGCTGTTCAGCATACGCGAGCCTTCAGGGCCTCCTCAAACATGGGCACGATGTTCTTGCCCTCCACACCATCAATGTCGAAGCCCTTGGTCCATCGCTGTAGAATACCCTCATCAATGTAGTTCTGGGTGGCAGGATATGAGAATGTGAAACCCAGAGGAATCTTCTCCAACTTGCTGCAGTCTCCGTGGTGAGTCTCGAGGAATTGGTAAAGACACTCGGCAATGTATTCCCAAAGCTCTTCAGATGTACCAGACTTGAGTTCCTCAGGCATGCGGTACTTGGACTGGAGGATATCAAACTCGGACTTCTCTTCGGTCAGGGTGATCTGGCAGACTCGCAGGTTTGTGCCACCCATATCCAGGGCCAGGTAGGTTCCGGTTTCATAGCCATCGGGGTATGACATGACCCAGGTAGGGTTCATAGGCTATGGACTTGGTTAGAAGTAGGATTGAAAGTGTGTGTTTCGAACTCACGATGCTACCCCCCTCAACACTGAGGCCTGTTGAAAATTAGCCAGTCGTCCCTATAGTCTACAGAACAGGAGATCTCACCTTTGGCGAGTTCGGAGACAAAGTGGTCAGTAATCTCCTTGAGCTTAGCGGACTCTACCGTAAAGAGCTTCTCGAGCTTGTGAATCTCATCGGCGAGATCCTTAGGGACATCGGCCATTGATCCTGTCATGGTTTGTAGTTAGCAACTGACACTTGATTTGGCTGATGTGTTTTTGTTTGCATGGAGCTGGAAAGTCAAGAAGCTCTGAGGAGAGAAAGGTTAACAGAAGGGCAGCGCATTTTGACTTCGGTGCTGCATGGTCACTGCACAAGCACTGCATCTACACTTTGACAGTAGTACAGTGATTGCCAGCTGGTGAACCCAATAGCATTCAGTTACCATGAAGTACGAGCTCACGTATTACACCTTGTCTGAACATTCGTTGTTTCCCCGAAACTTGATGTCACAGTTGCATGCACAGTCGATTATCACGGTTGTCGCCGATTCTTGGCCGAGCCCCAAGAGCCAATGGGGATGGCTTTCGATCTCGCACGACGGATTTTTGCACTCTCGTGGCTCTAGAAGACGACTTCGTCTTCTTTCCAAGGTTCGTCCCCAGAATTGTTGAAGAGGATGGAGGAAACATCGTCATCGCAGCGCAGTTTTGCTGGTTCTGCCCCACCGAGCAAGCTTCATCTCCGTGAACAAGCAACAGCTCGTGGCCAGAGCAATTGATGCTCCCGAATAATGTGATATAGAGTTTCTCGGTCGCGGGGATGTCATAACACGGTATGGGATAGCATCTGAGTATACGTACCCTTTCGGGAGGGAGGACGTCGAGGACCGAGACCAACCATTTTGATGAGGGAGGTTTGACTTTGGCGGGGTTCGGATTTGGCGGGGTAGTGTGTTGAAGCTTGGTAGCGCGTAGGTCACCGTAGAAATTTTGTAGGGAGAGAGTAGTATTCACGAAAGGAAAGAAACACAATTTAGAATAGGTTAGGGAGTACGACAATTGATAGGAGGACACAGGGTTTTTAAAGCAGCCCAGATATGGATGGGATGGAAGGGAGGTGGAGTAGAAGGCACCTTACGTAGGTAGGTGCTAGCTGGTCCTGGGGCTGAAGTGAACTGAGGTGAGTCGAGGTCAGGACAAGCCGTTGAGTGGGAGATTTGCAGGGAGTTAACTTATTAGTTGTCTTCTCATGTCATCAATCGGCCAGAAACAAAGTACCTCTACTTGCAAATAAAGGTTGACATGTACTTTATCTTATGTCTTGTGACCAATTGGCAACACCCAGATCGTCCCAGGTCTCCGCTGTCTTGACCCTCAACTACTATGTAAGTATCCGTACGTTGCACCTGGTTTCTACCTAATATTTGTATCTGCTTCCCTAGGTACGTATGCTACCTCTGTATCCTTCATAGGTTGGTCGATTGACCGCTTCGTTGCAAAAGGAAATAAGCAAAAAAGAGACATCTCTCCCCAAGAATGATACTAGCCTGAACAAGAACTTAGGCACCTCACGCTTAGACATTCATGGTCTAAGATGCGTGTGGGTTGAGATGTCTCTTCTCCTCAATTCCAACTGGAGCCCTTGTGTTGAGCTCCCATCTTGTCGGGCCGTTGATGGAGGGGGCCATTGGTATTAGTGGTTACCTTGACTGAAAGTCGCACAACACATTGGATTTCCAATTGCGTTTTTTAGTTGCTCCTTTTGTTTAATATTGACTCTTCAAATTCACGATGAGGAAGAAATTCATGATACACCGACTATGCACATGTTTCACTGCTCTCAACCTTCATGTGCCGGGGAACATGGGGGTCGGCCGCGTCCAGTCTGGGCAGTTTAAGCTCCAGCTTAGTAGCATGATGTCAGGTCCCAGTAAGCCACCTTCGTGGGGGGGGGTCCCCAAAGGCGAGGTACTTGATTCCTATGCCGTCCAGGTATCTCACAGTGGCTCCCGTCAGTGGGGTGCTCTATCTGGTTCAGTACCTTACCTTAGGTAGCCACTCAATGGGACGGCCAACGCAACTTTAGTTAAGGTGCCGGGGGTCCGGGTCCGGCGCTACGATTCTCCCGAGCTTCAAGGTCTAGTCACGTTTTCATTGGTTAAGAATGCTAGCTATGGAACCTACCCTGAAGCTCCCGCTGACACGCCAAATGGGCAACGTATGCTTTTTGGGGAGCTGTCTCAGGAGGGTCTAGAAGTTGAAGTGTCTCGAGAGTTGTGAGCTTGCATTAATCAAACTTTGACCACGATTACCTTACGGTACACGGCCACAACAAATTTCTTCTTTGACAGCTTCAGATCTCTCAATCAATGAGTGCATCCCCATCTAAGCCGTCATCATGAAGCCTTTCGCCATCACCACGGCGCTCTTTAGCTTCGTCTCCGTCGCACTTGCTGGCGCATCTACAGACTCCAAGACATCAAAGGTCACCCTGCCCGCCGATTTCAAGCCTCCACAGGTTTTCAAGAACGCCAATTTGGTACACGTCATCTCTCTAGAGAAGACCTACGTAAAGGAACAGATCAATGTCCTTGTCGAGAACGTTGCAAAGGAGCCACAGACGGAATACTATGTGCCATTCACTGCCGAACAGCTACCTCGTGTAGGAGGTTTCGAGGTTAAGGATCGCAAGGATGCGAACGCCGGACCGTTCGTGGCCGAGACTGTCGAGTACGACCCTCTTAGGTATGTGCCCTCAAGTTTGATTGCGTCGCAATTTGAATACTAATGGGTGTAATCTAGCGATGTCCAGTACTATCGTATCCGACTGCCAACGCCGCTCAAACCTGGTGCTCAACAAACACTCGGAATCACCTACTATTACCTGAAGGCCTACACTCCTCTTCCCGCGGCCGTTTCCCAGGACGATGACCAATACCTGAGCTTCAACTTTTCCGTTTATGCACCATCTGCCTACATCACGAAGAAGCAGAAGACTGAGCTCAAGGCTGCCTCGGCTGATGTCCCCGACTATACAAAGCTTCCAGGCAGTGGCGACGTCAAGGAGTTTCCCGTCAAGCAGGGCACCAAGCTCATTTATGGTCCCTTCGACGAAAAGCCCGCCGGTGCTGTCTCCCCTGCAAACGTTCGCTTTCAGTTTACCAAACCGGTTATCCATGTCAAGGAGCTCGACCGTTTGATTGAAGTCAGCCACTGGGGCGGCAACATCGCTTTCGAGGAGCAGTACGAGATGTATCACGGCGGTGCCAACCTTTCTGATAACTTCGATCGAATCAAATATTCTCAGCACTCGTTGTACCGCCAGCATGGGGTTGCAGGAATTCGCCCTTCGCATTACCTTGACCAGCTGCGAATTCCTCTTCCAGGCGGAAGCGTGGACGCCTACTATACAGATGTGATCGGCAACGTCACGACATCTACTTGGCGAAGCGACAACCGAGACGCTCTTCTTGTTCTAAAGCCGCGATACCCTCTTTTTGGTGGATGGAGATACCCTTTCACTATTGGATGGAACTCTGATGCCTCCAACTTCCTGCGCAAGACTGCCACTGGTAGTTTCGTGCTCCGGGTTCCTTTTATCGAGGGCCCCAAGCAGCCAGAAGGAGTTGAATACGAGCAGATCAACGTTAATGTTCTTCTTCCAGAGGGCGCCGAGTAAGCCAACAGTCCAAGCACTATTTGTGTCTTTGCTAACTATGATACAGGAACGTCAAGTTCCACACCAACATTCCCGACTCGTCCATCATGTCTACCTCGGTTGATCTGACCAGAACCTACCTCGATACTGTCGGTAGAACAGCTGTCAGCATCAAGGCGCGAAACCTGGTCGACGAGTTCCGAGACCGCCAACTTATCATCTCTTACGATGCGCCTCTCTCGAGCGCTCTTCGAAAGCCTCTAGTCATCTTTGCCAGTGCGATGGTGGTATTTGTCACTACCTGGGCTTTGGGCCAGGTGCAGGTGGGATTTAAGCCCAAGAAATAGACGCTTTAATAGAAACGGAACATGTCTTTTGATTGAGGGGTCTTCGTCCTTCCATGACGAGGAGCCTGGAAGCAGCTGCTGGGAAAAGATGTAAAAGTGTAAAATAGAGGATCATATTAGTAAATGAATCAGGTTTCCTGTTTACAAGCCGGAAGAAACATCATATGACAGTCAAATACTCGCTTGGCTTTGGTCATGTTCTGACAAAGACAGCAAAGCCACCACCATAGACAGGGTCCAGGCCGTTATCCGTAGAGGTGGACAACTCCGTCAGCTAGGTAAGCCCAGCCTCTTTTAATAGCAACTTGGGCTCTGTCGGCTCTAATACAGACTTGGTTCCACACAAAAGTTGTGTGGAGGATGAGATGGGTGGGCGAGGCAGGCTCCGAATGGTCACCCTGGTTAAGGACCCTCTCCTTGTTTACGCCAGGTTCTGACAGCATGGGTTAGTCAAAAGAAACCGGGCAAAAGAAGCCCAGGCATTGGTATAAGATTGAACATGAGAACCCCCCCTCGATGCCTCACACATTCTTTTGCAATTATAATTTGACCACCAACATCACAAGTCGAGGCTGATCAATCAGGGTCTCACTTTACAGTCGCTGTAACGATCTCATTCGACTATTCCTGTCCTATCACAGCTCCGACCAATCTACTCACGCCTAACAAACTCTCAAACAACCACCAGCATGTGTTTCGGCAGTGAACCCAAGCCCAGGACCGAGTACTACTATCACGAAGAGATCACGCCTTCCAGACGATACACAGGTCATCATCACCGTCACCACCACCATCATCACCATTCACGCTCTCCCCGAGCAAGCTACACCAGTGTCTCTAGACGGTCCTACAGCCACAGCCCACGAAACAGTGGCACTGTCGTCTATGAGCGCTATTGATCGTCTGAAGGCACCAATGCTGAATTGTGGGTGTAATTAGAGACAATGACGTTGTACAGAGCATGCGGTACTTGGCGGGCTGTGTTTAGCGGCATTGGCAATATGTTTTATGTATTGATGAGGAACGTATGACTATTTGGGCAAGGTTTGGGGGATAATTGTCTTGTTAAAGATATTGGATACAGGCTGGGCGTTAATGTTGTAAAAGAATAGGCGATATAGCGAAATGAAACAAGATGGGGTTCTTTGGCCTCAATGGCTGTTGATCATAAGTTGTCAGTGAAAAGGTCAACCTAAAATCTTAAGACGCCATTCGACTAATGTTTCTTACATGAAAGGCTGAGCCTCGTGCTTCTTTCTCGGGAGCCACGGATCTTCGTCATTTGGAGCTGTTCCTCTGGGACCCTTCTGAAAGCCTGTTGACGTATCGTTTGGGCGGGGTGCGGAGTGTCCCGCAAGGCTGGATCGTCGCTAGAAGAGCTCATGACATCACACTGCATTCCGCCACCGAAATTCCAAAAGCTCCCTAAGACAGATACAGGGAGTTACTTTAAATGTGAGCGAAGGTGCAGCTGAAAACATGTACTTGTGCTACCAAAATCAGGGCAGATCAAGATGTGTTAGTGTCGTCAACGTCAGTTTAAAGGGCCCTTCTACTTGTTTAAAGCCTGCACAACCCCTGCCTTTGTATTGGCAGCTTTAACCTCTGGAGAACTCTTACATCCATCCCCCTTGTAACAGACCTGACCCGGACCTAGACGATTTACACTGATTAACCACCCAAAGCGGCTCTGCAGCTGAATTCTTGAATCGCCTTATTCCACTGTAAGCTGTCACCTGTTCGTGTGAGGAGATGCTTGCTCGCTCTGTCTGTCTTCCATGGTGGGGAAGGCATGAGAAAGCAGTGTTCTGTGATGTAAAAGCTGACTCTATGAAAGAAGGCACATTCTGGACGAGTCCGAGTAGTTCTTTCTCTTACGCAGTAACTCTTGAACGATATTTACCTACCTTGGCTCTCTATCCTAAGCCTTCAACATGTAAGCTTAGCATCTACAACAATTGTCAAACTTCATATGTTGTCGTGCCTTAACCAACCTTACTGTATATTAAAATACAATGTCACGCTTCAGCTTTGATACCTCTACTTCACGCAATGAAACTCTATGTTTGGAAAGCCCGGTTGACGTGAAACCCTTTTCTAGGAATCGCGCACTCTCCATTCGATCCAACAAGTCCAAGGGCAACTCTGGCGCTGGTGCCGGAGCCAAGAGGGGTTTCTCCTTCAACTCCCTCCGTGGCCAGGTCCAGCCTGAGCTGTCCCGCAAGCTTTTCCGTCTCATCAAATCGGAGAACAACCTCATTGGTGCTCATGAGACCGCTGGCCGTGAACGGGTTTCTATCGCGACTCAGTTATCGGAATGGGGTGAGCACACCGGAGATGACAGCATTAGTGACATCTCGGACAAGGTGGGAGTTGTCCTAAGTGAAATGGGTGAGCAGGAGGACGCATATGCTCATGCTCTTGACGATTCTCGCGCCTATCTCAAGGCCATTCGAAACACTGAGAAGAGCGTGCAGCCTAGCCGCGAGAACAAGGATAAGATTGCCGACGAGATCCAGAAGCTGAAGTTAAAGGAGCCTGGTAGCACAAGATTGCCTGTCCTTGAGCAGGAATTGGTGCGAGCTGAGGCTGAGAACCTCGTTGCAGAGGCTCAATTGACCAATATCGTGAGTTGCGACTTACACCGCGTCATCAATCATTTGAACAACACTGACTGGTTATGTAGACCCGACAAAAGCTCAAAGAAGCTTATGCTGCCGAGTTCGCTGCCACCATCGAACGTGCCGAAAAGCAGATCATCCTAGCCAAACATGGCCGCCGTCTGCTGGAGCTCCTTGACGACTCGCCTGTGGTCCCTGGTGATACACGAGTGCCTTACCAACACTCCTCCCAGGCACGCCAAATTCTCAACGATGCTGAGGATGACCTTCGAGACTGGCGACCCGAAGCCGAGGGCTTTTCTACTCCAGTTCAAAGCCGATCACCAACCCTTGAGGGAAAGGGAAAGGAGCCTCTCGCTGCGGGAGACAATTTGTCTCCTGTCCAGTCTGAGGCAGCTACAGTTGAATCCGAGACTTCTCCTATGGAGCAACGGGGTACCAAGTCCTCCGTCTATGCTGAGGTCGCTGGCTAAGTGGGCAATTATAGGATAGTGCATAAGGGTGCCGATTCTAGCATGGGCTCTTTTTTCGATAAGCTTCGTTTTCTTGAGCAGGCGAGAAAATTCACTTGCTGTCATCGCAGTCTGTCTGGGTATTGTTGAGGGATTAGTTCTCAAGTTTAATATGTTTGGGGTACCGAAAGGGGTTCTTGAGGTGCTGTTTGTTTATATCCTTTGATTATTGCTTGGTTATTCTTGTTAGTTGAAATCAAAATGGGGCGTGTCCATGAAAAAGTTTAAAGTAGTGTCATGCTGAGGTTTGAAGTGCATGTGTGCAAGAACAACGATGGGCCGGCTCATGGCGCAAACCATGGGCTTAGGCTCATGTCCAATTAATTGTTGAATCACTCAGCACCAATCGATATGAGGTGATCAATATCGTGGGTCTTGGTGCATCGTTTGGGGCATTGGCTTTTGAAATGGTGTGGATGGATGGGGTCTGCATCTTGGTGTTGCACCTAAGACGGTTATGTTCCGGTTACGGAGATGGGAGAATTTTCATGAAAGGCTTGAGTGCAAAACAGAAGGAAAGATTTGATAGTCTCCGCAGCGCAGTATCTTGAATTGGCCAAGGTAGATCAGACAAATATACGGAGAACATGAGCTTAGACATTGCTTCAATCCATTTAGCTGCAGATGTAATAAAATAGGCTCATCGGGTCATGGCTTGTCTCCGGGCTGTCGGCCGCGCTGTGTGGATATGGCACGGCATGAAGACGAGGTCCAATTTAGCACAGCCGAGACCCATCATGACATCCAGATTCGGTTAGTTTCTGGTCCATATCGTCCGTCCGAAAATCAACTCCCGTGCCCGCGAAAAGTCGACCTCGGTCTCTCTTGAAGCCCTGCGCTACAGCCGACGACCGCGGTGTAAGGCCTTGGCATAAGGTTTCTACTCACCGTATACTCTTGATATAACCTCCCAATCTCTTTCCTCTCTGTCTTTTGAACCCTTCTCCCCGGGGCTGCTCCACTTCAAGCCGCCCCCTCTAAAGACCAGCTTAGTATTGATGTTACAGCCGCAAAGTTCCCGGCTTCTGCTGCTCCAGAGGTCGTTACGCACTACAATCATAGGCAGAAGCAGAGGCACAGGCACCGCAGCCACTGGGACACTGCTGTACAGTCCCTCCGCAGCGCCGTCGCTGTCGCCATACCGAGTACCTGGCCGGGCCAATTATATGGCATCGCTGGCAGCACGCAGCCCTGCCGCTGCAGGCCCCGGCGGGAGCAATAGTGCCGTTACCAGTGGTGCCCCGCCCCCTCCATCCTCCTCTTATTCTCACTCTGCTGCTACGTCAACCTCCAAAATTTCTTCCCGTCGAACAGCTCAGATTGCTCGACACTTTTCCTCCTCATCCTCACCAACAGGTCCCGTTTCAAAGCAGAAGCCCGACATGGCCTCCAACTACACCGTCCGCAAGGTTGCGGCTCCCAACACCCTCGAGCACCGAGTCTACATCGAGAAGGATGGCCAGCCCGTCTCTCCTTTCCATGATATTCCTCTCTATGCCAACCAGGAGCAGAACATTCTGAACATGGTTGTCGAGATTCCTCGATGGACCAATGCCAAGCTTGAGGTATGTCTAGTCAACATCAATTGCTGACTTGTCACCTGCTCGGCACGCTTTGCTTTATTTACAGCTGTCGTGTGCTCCAATATTACCCCTCCCCCTCCTTGCGCAGTCGCTGCCCAGACCGACAAAACCCAAAACATGAATACTGACAAAAGCCTCACTCTAGATCTCCAAGGAGGAGCTCCTCAACCCCATCAAGCAGGATATCAAGAAGGGCAAGCTTCGGTACGTCCGAAACTGCTTCCCCCACAAGGGTTACCTCTGGAACTACGGTGCCTTCCCCCAGGTATGCTCATATTTACCCCAATCTGACGTGGTCACTCCTAACTCGATCGCCAGACTTGGGAGGACCCCAACTCCATTCACCCTGAGACCAAGGCCAAGGGTGACAACGACCCTCTCGATGTTTGCGAGATCGGTGAGCTCGTTGGTTACGTTGGTCAGGTCAAGCAGGTCAAGGTCCTCGGTGTCATGGCTCTCCTCGACGAGGAGGAGACTGACTGGAAGGTCATTGTCATTGATATCAACGACCCTCTCGCCTCCAAGCTGAACGACGTCGAGGATGTCGAGCGACACCTTCCTGGTCTCCTCCGTGCCACCAACGAGTGGTTCCGTATCTACAAGATTCCCGATGGCAAGCCTGAGAACCAGTTTGCCTTCACTGGCGAGTGCAAGAACAAGAGGTGAGTTCTCAAACTCCGGCTTAGCGAGCCCAAGACTAACAACTTCAAGCTACGCTCTTGACGTTGTCCGCGAGTGTGCTGAGGCCTGGGAGCGTCTCATCACTGGCAAGACCCCTGCTGGCGGTGTCTCCACGTAAGTTTCTGAGCTGCCCTTCTAACACAATTGATATTAATCTTTGTATAGCACCAACGTCACTGTCCAGAACTCTCCTTCTCGCGTCTCCCCTGACCAGCTTCCTCCTCTGCCTCCCAACGAGAATCTCCCCGCCGAGAAGATCGACGCTTCCATCGACAAGTGGTTCTTCATCAGCGGTGCCTCTGCTTAAGTGTTTATAGACAAACCATCTTGCATAAAAGGAAGAAGTATGGCAGACATGTATTCTTCACAAAAGGTTGAGCACAAAGATACTCAAGAACAATATAAAAATGATGCCAATTGTCGTAATATTATACAAGACCCTCTATTCCTGCTATGCCACACTGGGGTTCTTAAATGTACATGAGTCGTTTCCTAAACGCCGTTGATGCATGATGGGTGATACAGTATAACGGTGTTTTTTCACATATTTTAATCGGTCAAGTCGGCTGCCTTCTGCAGTTGACGCGAATGTCGGTCTACTTCCTCGACCAGTCCTTTAATGTTGATCTTTTGGCAGTCAAAGTTGAGCTCCTTGCCATCCTCTGCGTCTCATTAGCCATTGAACCCCAACTACGGCCTTAATTTACGTACTAAATTTCACGCGTAGGGAGCTGGGCTCTTTTGAAGTTCGGGGTAGGATGGTTGATGTGATTGTTGTTCCATTCGCTCGGGCATTCGGAGGCAGAAATGTGAGAAACAGGCGAGCTGGCTTTGCGCAGGCCGAGAACGGGTTGAATTTGGCCGAAACCTCAGTCATAAACTTAGTGATCATCTTGACGGTAGAGCAAATGCGAAGCTCGTGAGATACCAAGAGCAATTGGCTTGGCGAGAGAGTCAAACGTGGTCGTTAACACATCCGAAAGCTGTTGGCGGGCAGTTTGGCGACGCTGAAATTTCGGGGTTCGATAACGGCTCGGTACATGCATATCGCCCTAAAGGGGCTGCGTCCAGCTAACTGCAACGTCATGATAATGATGGACCACGTTTCGAGATCGACTTATACAACATACACCTAATAGTTTTTATCCACCAACATAATATTGCAAGCTCAGCAAGCTGAAATGTCTTTCGAAGGCCTGCAGGAGCGTCTGACGGCTCTGCAAGAGAATACGACACAGCTCAAAGAGCTTATCGATCGACTCGCAACGCTTAAATTCCAACCCGGCTCTGTGCCCCTGACCACCGATGAGGAGAGCAGCGAGAGCGGTGAACTCAGCGCAGAAATTACGAGCACTCTGCGGGACGGAGAAGAGGAGCACGAGCTTCTGCAGGAAGAAGTGGAATTTCTGCGTGGTGCAGAGCATGATAAAGACCGATTAAAAGAGAGTGTCGAAAAGATTGGGACGGAGCTTGAAAGGTATGATTTACACTGAACAGAAAATGGTATTTATGTCTAATATACCTAGCTGCCGTCTCTCCTTTCGAAAAGCACGACTGTCGGCAAAGCATAGCCTCGCGCAGGCGCAAAGACGAGAGCGCGAGATTCTACTTACATCATTCTCACATCCTACCTCCGAGAACAACTCTCTTTACCCTGACGACGAAAAGTCTGCTCGCCCCACACGCCATCAGCAGCATGCTCAGAAGCAACAATCTAGCCTTACTGAAGAGGATCAACAGAACGTTGGCGCGAGCGCTAATGTGACCAACGCCCTGCGACGAACACACGACTTGATCCAGGCGGAGTTGGCGCGCAGCGAGTTTGCGCACGAGACTTTGACGGAATCTTCTGCTGCTTTAAAGCAGCTGAATGAGTCGTATGGCTCTCTGGATACAATGCTGGCGAGCTCCAAGGATTTATTAGGCACATTGTTGCGCTCGCAGAAAAGCGATACGTGGTACCTTCAGACGACGTTTTATATGCTAGCTTGTACACTCGGTTGGCTGTTGTTCAGAAGATTGCTGTATGGACCTATGTGGTGGATTGTTTGGTTACCGCTGAGGCTGATGCTCGGATTGGGTACATCGGCAGGCAGTGCGGTAATGCACGCGGGTTCTGGGAAGGGCCAGGTGAAAGAGGCTGGACAGGCGAGCAAGGGAGTTCCGGTGGAGGGTTTGCCGGATGATGAGTTGCCTACCGTCAAGATTGGCGACGAGCAGCAGGCTGAGGTTCTGGAGGAGGTGGATAAGATTGTGAACGTTGTGAGAGAGGCGGATGAGCTGGGAAATATCCCAGAGGGTGATAAGGATAATATTGGTAATCCAAAGAAGAGGATGTGGGAGGAGCCTGATGTTGTTGAGCAGCAACGCCCTAGAGATGAGCTATAAGTTGGATAACTTTTAATTTTATAGCAACAAGGTCTTGAATCTACTGTGCGTTGTGAAGTTTAAGACTTGGCGGGTTGAACTGTAAATCAATTTTAAATGATATAATTCACATGAAAAAAAAAACTCGCCAAGGGAATGATCTGTAATAGTGGCATCCTTATTCTTCAGGTGAGATTTGTCGTACGTTTGTCATAATCACATTATGACCACAATCATCTATCAACTACCCTCAAATGTTCTTTCAGCCATCATCCCACATAACGCTTTGCCTCTTTTTTGGCTTTCAGACTAACTAGCAACCCCCTTCACCCATAGCACAACCTAAGGTGTCTAAATTTGTATAGTCACACTCTCACAGCCTCTTCGACTATGTTCGCTGGGGAGCAATCTGCTCAACTTCGCTGATCCAAGGAAGGCCGAGCTTCTTCATCTCAACGGCAAGCTGGAACAGATAGTCGAGACTATGTCATGTCAGCATAATTAGTCGCATACCACCAGTGACCTTAGAATCTCTTCCTTACCTCTCACATTGAGTCTTGGCCTTATGGACGTTGTCACCCCAGACGTAGACACCATGACGACGGACAAGAACAGCGTACGTGTCGGGATACTTATCCATCGCTTCCTCGAGATACTCGGTCAAGTCCTCCTCATGGGGAGTATTCTCGATGACGGGAATGCGAAGGGTGTCATGATAGCCCAGGTTACCTGTCTTGTTCATGCCACGGCCAAAGCCCTTGATCTGCTCAATGTTGTTGATCTCGAAAACACGGTCCTTTCCAGGGCCTTGGGATTCTAACAGGAGGGTGACGAGAACAGCCCATTGAGAGTGAGTATGTATACAGCAGCCAGCTCCTCGGCGGGTGAAAGCAGCGAGGAACAAGGGGGTGCACTGAGAGGGCTTGTAGCAGGGAGGAGATCGCAGATAAGTGCGCTGGTTGAGCTTGTTGTGGTTTGGATCTTGCTCAGAGAGAGCCATGACATAGATATCGGTGTTCTTCATGAGTTCTTTTTGAACGCCTGAGGGAGCAATGTATACGAGATCACTGCGATCATGGTGTAAGTTGAATGAAACTTTCCCTCTCCTATTGTGATAGCAAATACTCAGGAGAATGTTTACATGTTTTCCCATTCACTTGAAGAGAATATATAGGTATCATGAGTCTTGGAGTGAATAATTTTGCCTTCTCCAACTCATCATGGCGGGGTCGCGGGGTAAAAAGTGATAAAATTTCAAATATGAGCAAAGCAAACATACTCATCTCGAATAGAGCAACCACCTCCTGTTCCCGTAACCCAGCCCAGAGTCCAGAATTTTGCGCATAGTGAAGGAATCAAGTTAGCAGGGTGGTTGGGGTCCTCAGAAGTAATGAGGGCATCGCCAGTTGGGCGTTGCTCAGTTGACATCTTGTCTTTGGAGGAGGATCTGGAGGTGCGGAGCACTGTAAATTGTGCCTTTCCAGAAGGTTTCTAATTTGGATCGTAGCAGCCGAGACAGGGCGGAGGTCCGGCAGAGGATTGTAAATTGTGAGATGAGATAACAGCACAGTCAATGTGATGCAGCTGAGGCTGATGTTGGTGGTGGACAGTTTCTTGTCCAATCTTAACCCAACGCCGCACCTGTTTAGGCTGTGGTTTCAGAGCCTCTTAGTGGCTGAGGAGAATAGATTGGGCATTAGGTGCCCTTTGCTATCAAACTCCCACGATGAGAAGAGCACTCTTAAGAGAACTGCCTACAGTACGCTAGCCAATCAATAACGAGAAGACTTTCTCCAAGTCCCTTCTGCAGAGAATGAGGTCGTGGCTGATGAGTGAATTGGCCTAAACAATCAGAAACAATGGCTTGGAAACGTTGGGTGGTTGCTTGTCTTTACTGGGCAGGCCGTATATCTCCTGGTCCCAGTGGATTCTCCAAAATCTACGCCAAGTTCTTGTCTCAAGAATCTTTGCCATGTGATGGAATTTTCTTTTGTCCGGAATGTTCTATCTTGTATCTCGATCCTATGCAATGCGTGCGACCTCCGTTTTCAAAGGGCATTGGCCTCAGTCGGATCTGAGGTTGTATTGCGTCTATGGTGGCAAGCGAGTGAGCTATGAATAGGAACGGAGACGGAACAGCCGAGAATGGTCCAAAGCACAACTGATGGAGTTTCTCTTCCGTCAAGATTCATCGATGCAAGTTTGAAATGGGTCAAAAATCATCGATAATACATAGATGATAGGGGTATATGTCTTTGCATGAACTCAAGGGTTCATGTTATCTGAATGACTCAGTTTTGAATACGTATGTGATAATAACCAGCATCAGATGGAGAATCTTCCCGAACTGAAGACGAATAGACGAATGCCTTGGAACAGACCTGGTCTGTGTTTTTAACATTTTCAAGGATGACGCCTCAATCACAAGCCTTTACAGGTGGGTAATAATACTCGTTTAATGAGTGCGAGAATCCATCAACAGGCTCTGAGCATCATGTCTTGTCTTGATGTTGACCCTTGTCCTTGCTTAAATGACCTTTTTCAGCTCTCGGCGCCGGCGCCGGGACGCCAAGACCCTGGTCCTGGTAGAGCTGCACTGTAGCAGTAACAGTAGCAGTAGGTAGCACAGATGCCCCTAATAGCAAAGAGGCATACGGGGAACGGGGAGCACCGCCGGGGTTTTTTCTCTGGCACACCTCGTATTCATGGATTAGGATGGAAGAAGTTGAGCCGACGGCTTTTGCAGGTGACAACGCGGCATAGAGCATCCGTTAGAGGCTCTAGGCGCCGTTTGCCTGTCCCTTTGAGGGAAGAGGAGAGTTTAAGTTTGTTGAGTTCTTGAGTATGTGCCTAGTGACAGTGCATTGAAATGACGCTGGTGTTAGCCAAACAAATGTACACATGTACGCCAATGAAAAAAAAGAGGCCATTTTAATTGCTCGAGCTAAGTCCTCCAAAACGGCCTTGACTCCTTGAGCCGGCCGGTATGGTGCTAGTAGACCATGGCTTTCCAGTTTGTTCTTTATTCACTCATACTGTGAAGAAGAAAACACATCGCCAGGTGTGTTATTGTTTACATGGTATTGGCTGGATTGCAAACACTTTGCAAAAAACACTGGCTGATGGTTTACACAGTCTCGTCTCGGACACACTTCCGCTCACCCCTTGTCCCAAAATGGAGGCCTGGTCTATTATTGTCTAGCCCAAGGGTGACCCCCTGAGACAACCTCGAATCCAATCGACTTGGAGAGATCCGATGCTAGTGCAGTAATCTAGGCGCGCTGAGAAGAACAGCCGTGTCCCCGTCACCTTTGGAGGTGCAAATTGAGGGGGGCTCAGTGGTAGAAAGCAGAAAACACCACACAAGTAAGAAAGACGGCAGATGGTGGTCATGTCGCCTGGCAACACGAGGTATTAGAGGCGAAGCTCCTCATGATGGATGGACGGATGGATGGATGAGCAAGTGGAGGATCACATCCAATATGTGTGGGTCTGTTTTGTTTTTATCTCCCAACGTCTTTTTCCATCTATAGGTAGGTATCATAAGTTTTGTTAGTTACGGTCACTGCCGAGTCTAGGCACAAAGTTAACAGTCACAACATGATCATCCTCAATCATCTGAGCCGAAAAAGAATTGTTAAACGAAGGGAGAGATGCAAGATCTGCGTTGAGCCGGAATTACAGGAACATCCCCCAGCTCAACTGGCAAATGGTCGTTTCTTCCCCTAGTCAACGCAGGACAGGGACGGCAAATTAGTGGTCGTCTCTTGGATCATGGCTTGTAAATTTAAAATTGATGTCGGCGGGCTTCCCCAGACCAGAAAGTAAACGAACATCGATCGACATCACATCAGTCGTCTACGGAGTAGGTACCACATACCTTCTCTTCTTCGCTCGCTACAGTCCGACCCGACTGCAACTCACTCTAATTTTGTGCTTGTGCCTGTGCTTGTCCTTTCTTTGTTGTTGTCACAACGTGGACGTGGACTTGTGTGAGGGGGTTTGCGTGGCATAACCCAAATATTCCCCTCCTCTTTTTTTGTTGTGTGTTATGATACTAACGGAGCCCTGAATATGCATCATGCGTACTCTGTGCCTACGGCCGACAGCAATAGCATCCCCGAGAAGGTGATGGATACTTCGTTTCTCTCTCCTCTCGTCTCTAACACTTCCTGATCAGACATAAAATGGATCCTCAATGGCTCCAATCCTAATCCTAGCGCCATCATGGGTCCTCTTCCCTCACCCCATGTCCATGTCCATCCATGCTCCTCCATGTCCCACCTCGAGCCATTGACAAGCCAAATGTGAAGGTCCTGATGGGTCCCCTATCTCCCGATGAGCCGGGGGCTAGCTTGGCGCGCTTTGCCTGCACCTCAGGTCAGTCTTGTTGACTTGTGCCTGCGCCTGTGAGCCTGTGACTTTCACGGCTTCCCCTAGCCTGGCCTGGGGGGTCTGAGACTTTGCTTTGAAGGCCTTGTCTAGGCTTGCTTGGGCTTGGTGGTGGTATGGTCATTGGCTTGATGGTGTGGATGCCCCTTTGCAAACCGTCCACGTCCAGTTGAGGGCTCGACTCATAAAAGGACCTGGCTACCCCGTCGCGAGCTCTTGTCTCCCTTCCTCTTTACCCTCGTTGTCATCCGTCCGTCGTTCGTTAAGACAAGAATTATACTTCAGACTTTCGCTTTGAGATCTATCTCTATTACTTTACACTACTAATTCTAATATCAACAACCTCGAAATTCATCAACATGCGTTTCACCTCCATCTTCGTTGCCGGCGCTTTCGCCACCATGGCCGCTGCCCAGAGCAAGACTGCTTCTGTCTCTCCCGCTCAAGAGTCTCAGCTTAAATGCCTTGACAAGTGTGATGCTGGTGATGTCAAGTGCCAGTCTTACTGCATCACTGTAAGTCTAGTATTTCTCCATATGGACAAACATAGCTCTAACGATAATTCCACAGGTCCCCTCTCCTGATGAGAAGAACATCAACGCCACCACCGAGTGTGTTGCCGCCTGCCCCAAGGGCAAGGGTTCTGCCTCCGATACCGAGAAGTACTCCGTCTGTCTCCAGGACTGTATCGCCGACAACTACTGGAAGACCATCGACGGTACTCCCCAAGAGACCGGCGC